CCCCGCCATCTCAAGGAGTGTTTTCTTGCCTGTATCAAGGAAATCCTTAGAAGAGTTGGATCATAGACTCCCTGGACTTTGCCCACACCGATCCATTTAACTGGAATTTTTAGCTCATCTTCAATAAACTGAACATAATTTTGAGCATTAACAGGTAGTTCTTTAAATGTCTTGGCATTTGATATATCTGTGTTCCATCCTGGGAGAGTCTTACACTGAACTTCAACTTTATTTGAGACTTCTTGGTTTGCTGGGAAGTGAGGTATGATTTTGTCATCTAACTTGTAAGCCACTCCAACTTTGATTTCCGTAAACATGTCCAAGATATCCAACTTGCTAAGTGCCAACGCAGTAAACCCATTTATCACGTGAGCGTATCTGAGTAAAACGAGATCGAGCCAGCCACATCTTCTTTTCCTCCCAGTAGTTACACCATACTCTTTACGTCTTGTTTGTAACAATTCTCCAATTTCATTATCTTGCTCTGTAGGAAAGGCACCAATACCAACTCTAGTAGTATAAGCTTTCACAACTCCATATACTTCTCCAACATTCTGGGGAGGCATACCCAGCCCAGTACAAACACCCGCAACCGCGCAGTTTGAGGAGGTTACGAAAGGATATGTTCCAAAATCAATATTAGCAGTGCTGCATTTGCACCTTCTACCAAGATTTTCTTTGGTGGTCCATGTAGGGCCTCATATAGGAAATAAACTCCATCTCTCACCATTGGTTTTATCCTTTCCATGTAACCCTTGAGTTTTTATAATTCACCTTCAGTATCTATTTCCAAAGTGGGGTATAACGACTTGTACTGATTAGCCAGAACTTTGAACCTCTTCAGAGAAGCCATCAAAATCAGAAACAGGATCACACATCCAGAGTCCACTCCAAGCAGCTTTCGAAGAATAAACTGGGCCAATCCCCTTTTTTGTGGTACCCAAATTTTTTCCTGCTTGTTCTTGTCTCTGTTGCTCCTGGATGCCATCAGCTGCTTGATGAAAATCAAATACAATATGCGCTCTATCGGATATGATAAGCCTTTTCCCCAGCCTTCTAGACCTTTTCCCTTTTGAACATTTTTGTCTGCTTCTTCAAACAACCCAGGTAAATGAATCACCACACCATTTCCAATGAATGCAGTAACATTTGGATTAATTATTCCACTGGGTAAAAGGTGAAAATCATATTCTATAGAACCTACAACTGTATGGCCAGCATTATTTCCTCCCTGGCAGCGGCACACGATGTCGGCGTCCTGCGCCAGCAGATCCACCACCTTCCCTTTGCCTTCCGCGCCCCACT